CCAATCATGGAGGAGGTAGATGTGATTTTGGAACCCTCAAGGGCAATCCCCAAACATGGTTCCATCTTCTTCCTCTTCTTCTTTGATGAATTCTAGAGATAGAGAGTGTGTAGATCTAGAAATGTGTTCTTGGAGCCTCCACTCCTCTCTTTTCTTCTAATCCTAATTTCTAACTTTTCTAGAGAGAGAAAATAAAATTACAATGTAAAAATAAAATGATGAAAAGCTCGCTCATAAAATAGGTCACTTCCCTTTAAATAGAAGGTCCTTTTCTTAGTTATTAAGTCAGAAATATAGCCCCAAAAATATCTAATCCCGTACTATGTGGTAGGTGGAGATCGGCGCGCTCGGGAATTAGACAGCTCACTGCCACCACATTTTCGATCGATCAGACTTTTCTTCGATTGATCAGAGTTTGTTCGATTGATCTGGGTTCGATCGATCCAACTCTGATCGATCTCAGTTTTCTCAGATCTATCAGACTTTTCTTAGATCTATTTAACTTGGCAGTTTTTCAGCATCAGCCTCTTTTTGCTCCAAATCAGCCTCCTTTTGCTCTAAATTCTTACAAAGACTTAGTTTGACTCCAAAAAGGCCTTAAGAAGCCATTTTTAGTTTGTTTTAACTTTATTGACCTAAAAAGGAAAATAACATGAAATTGGTCTAAAACGGAAAAATAAGATAGATAAAGGTCCTAAAATACTCGAGCTTAATGTGTTTAAATGCCCACTTTTCAGCTCTCATCACACCCCCAAACTTAAATATTGTTAGTCCTTAGCAATGAACTACGAAGTGAAAAAATGAAATGAGCAACTATACAACTATGAACTAGAAAACAATAAATGGATAATGCCATTTTCATAGGGAACGTATTGCATTTAGCACATGCAACAAGCCTTTTAAAGCCCTAGGTTACCCCTAGTGGACAAGTGAAGTCTCGTGAGGGTTTCCAGAAATAATACCCACAAGCATTAAGCTCATTATTACAAAAAAGGCACTAATATTGCAAACAAGCATTGAGAGAAAACTACCTCAAGTATGCAATTTTTCAAACATTTCCAAGCAATCTCCCAAAATCTCAACATCAAGCAAGTAAGTATGGTCATCCACACATCAAGAAAAATGATCATGCAAATCAAAACAACTCTAGAATCCTTTTGAGTGGACCGGCATCAAATATGTTGCTATCTTAGCCAACTAAAGAAATGATCACATCCTTACCCTCAAACTAGCACACAAATCTAGTACCGATCATCAAGACAAAAAATGGACCTTTTATTAAAGCTTTATTGATCTAGTTGTACTTATTCTTTTCACTCGATGATTTATTTATTTATTTTATTATTATTATTATTATTTTACTAATCATAAGGATCAAAGATAGAAGCATGTTGCAATGTGTTGATTTACTAAGCTTTCTAGCGATCCATGAGGTCGAGCGTTAGGTCAATGACTTCTAAACCGGACAGCTTTAGGGCACTAGGCGTTCAAACACCCCTAAGGACTTACAAGCTCAAATCAACTAAGCTACAAATCAAAACAATTTTCATCTAATCATTTCCCACTTCTCACCTTTTCGGAGAAGTCCTCACTTTTTTATTTGCTTTTAAATTGGAATTCAATTATTAGGTAAGTAGACCATCCATACTTATGCTTGAATTCCATACTTTTTGTCACAATTGCATTATCTTCTAGATTAATGTGTGTTAAATTTGTAACTTTGATTGATAAATCATGCTTTGAATGGGTGAATTGCACTACACTTAGTTTAATTGTCATTAGGTAGTTGATTCATGCTTGAAATTGATGGTTTACACTTTTCATTGCACTTGTTAGCCACATATAGATTACATAGTATTATTTCCCCAATTAGTTGAAAGTGAGTGAGTTAGGGAATGTGCTTAGTGGTGAATCCTACACCCTAAGTCTCTTTCCAATCTCTTAAACTCTATTTCTTTATTGCAATCATTTAGTTTAAAATTAGTTTTAATCACAAACAAAACCCTTTTGGCAATCACATAAGCACTAAAGTAGAATTCAATTCTGGAAAACCTATAATTGTTTAGATCTCTTGGGACGATCCCTGCTCACTTCATACTCCATGGTATAAGTGTTTAGTAGTTTTATAAATTTTAAAATATGGTACCCACTTGACATTATTTCTAAACCTAAAGTGTTGTGCATTATTTTGTGCACACGCTCGGTCGCACCATGTGTATATATATATATGGACTATTGTAGATATTGCCGAGCTATCAAGGATGTATCTGCGTATCGGGTTTATGTACGGATTGTAGTAGATTGGAACTTGCATGTGGGCCTGACCCACTTCTATTTTTCAAGTATTCGCCAGTACCAGGCTTAGAGTTTGATCGTGTTGATGCAGATACAGACACTCACTCTTCCGGTTACATAGGATTTCCTTTCTATTTTGGTTTTGGATTTTAATTCTGTAAATTTATTTAAAGTTTTGGAATTAGGGGTCCACTAGGTGGATTTCCGAGTTGTACGGATTTAAATTATATTAATTTATTATTTAAGGTTCGAGGATTTTCATTTTAGTTTTTTTCAGCGCATTATTATTTTATTCTTAATTTAGTTTTATTCTTGCTTGGTTACATATTAATTGTCTGATATCCCTCGGATCTGTGCTCGGACTTGATCACCCGTGGCTCTAGAATCGAGGGGTATCACAGGAAGGTCCCTCATACCTTGCCTACAGAGTTCTTCCTGAGCCCATGGTTGCAATCCGGACATGAAATTGAATAGCTTGTCCTCCTCTGACATATTTCGAATGTCCAACATCAAGGAACTAAAGTCCTTCACATAGTCACGAACGGTACCTGTGTGCTTCAATTTCTTCAGAGATTCCCTTGCAATCCATGCAGTGTTCTGAGGCAAGAACTGGTTCTTCAATTCCTTCTTAAGGGTCTCCCAAACTTCAATCTGAGGCCTACCCGTCGAAGCATCGTCCTCTGTCCGTGTGCGCCACCATAGTTTTGCATCACCAGACAGATACATGCTTGTAATGGTCACCTTCTCGCCATCGGGAATTCGAGCAGCCTTGAAGTACTGCTGCATGTCCCATAGGAAATTCTCCAACTCTTTGGCATTTCGGGTACCACTGAAAGACTTGGGATCCGGCACCTTGATCTTTTGCGAAAGAGGATCACCACCGCCTCGGAACTCCCATGAATGGCCCTCTTCACCAAAGACACTTCATCTTCAAGGTCTTTCAGGTTCTTCTTGAAGACGTTAGTCAATGACTCAACATCTTCAGAGATACGGGTCAATTGCTCTTTGGTGGCCTGCATGAAGTCACCAAACCCATCAGGATCAGTCTTCAAGATCTCCACTTCAGAAGCCAAGTTTTCAATTCGAACAACAAGGCTCTCTGCACCATCTTGTACCTCTGTTTCTGTAGAAAAACCCACGAACTCTTCCAAACGGGAAACTCTCTCACGAGTATTACCTCCAGCCATCGTAGAACGGGGCTCTGATACCAATTGTTACAGGGCTAAATTACACCACGAATTTTTGCCTCTGTAATGGCACTTGGGGCCACCATGTCTCAGCCAACACAACAACACAATACACACAGTATAAAAATGTAAAGAAGGCACACACAGTTTACAGGGACAAGCCCCAACCTTTGCTCATATTAAACATATTACAAAGGAACATGAGTTCGTATAAGGAACAACCAAGGCTCACACCCTCCTCTCTGTCCCCTCTACAAAGCCCACCTTAGCATTATATAGGCCACTCTCAAAACCGCCCATAACTGCCCACTAAGATGATGGATGACACCCCCATCCACCTAGGGTCGTGCTGGCACCCTCTAAATGTGCCAGCACTATAATGCAGTTGACAAGCCCAACTGCTAGATTTGTTGGCATGTTCTGCTCATGCCACATAACCACAAGAAGTTACATTCTGCATAGTGGAAGAAACCACCCTTAACCGCCTGTGTGTTGGTCCTCTCAGAATTGTGCCACATGCTTGGGAGGTTACTCAGCATTCCCCCACTTCCCATTATGAGTGGGAAGTGCTAGTAACTTCCCCCAACCGACCGAGCTCACTAAGCCACCACCTTTTGTAACCGCAAGCCATGACTTTATGTTGTCTATGCTCTAGCCACATCTGAGTCAACCTTGTGAACCTAGCCCAAGCTAAGTCCATTAATATGCACCGACATATATATGTCTCTGAGTGCACGGCGTGCCAAGCCATGCATGCCCGTGCGCACGCTCGGGTGTACACCAAAGTGCACGCCGGCGCACACACTAATGCCCTTCTTCGCGCGCCATGTTTGAACCCTCATGCGCCCGTGGCTATACGCCCACCTGGACGCCCATGCGCACGCCGAGCTAGACGCTCGCGCACACTAGGTTGGACGCCTGCCCGCGCGCCCACCTGCATGCCCGCACGCACGCCGCTGCACACCAGCGCGCGTGTCGGTGCCCACTTGTTTGCCCTTCAATATCTTGGATGCTCTCCACTTGTGCAACCATCTTGGAGTGGTGCAACACGTGCCCATGCACGTTGGCTAAGCCCTCTAAGCAAGCCATGCCATAGCCCAACCGATGTGCTCAACAGACCCCTCCCTAGTATAGTCTTAAGGAAATCTAGCACTCTGACAGGAGTAGACATCACCCATGCTTTAGGAGTCATAATGGCCTTTCAAGCCTTTCCCGACATCCAAATTAAGTGCTGTCTGCGCCAACCAGCTTCTATGGACTCAAGATACCTCCCATAAAGATCCCGAGTCAAAACTCCAAGTTTCACTTTTTGCCATATTTACGAAAGTGCCACTGGGCACCTCCAGTGTACGCCGAGCATCATTTTAAGCATCTTGTGTGCACGCTAAGCATCTTGTGCACGCTAACAACCCACTGAGCATCCTCATGGCTGTCTAACCAAAGTCAAAGTATTCCCAAGACATGGCATGGCCTTGAAATGCCCATGTCTTCCCTTGGACAACCGTCAAGGGGCTAACACATTCCTTGTATAGAGTGAGCTTTACGCTACAACCTATTTGAGAAGAGCATTCATCATTGATACATCTTTTTTTTTTTTTCAAAGGGAAGAAAGTTTTAATTTCTATTTCTTGTCCATATAAGAATATAGTTTGTAATCTCTATACTGTGCTCATTGAATTTTTATTTTTTATTTTTTATTTTTGTGTGACCCTTAAAAATTTAAGAGAATTAAATACCTACTTAACAAGATAGAGATAAGCATGAGAAGTTTAAAGAAATTAAATCGAAACTTGTGACAAGGAACATTTTACATTTATGAAAGATCAGAAATGAGAAAAACATAACTCGAGAAATCTACCATACGGTTAACTTCCGGAAAAAAGAAAAAGAGAAAAAAAAAAAAAAAAAAAAAAAAAAATTCTACTATGCATGATAGATTTTAGCCACAATCACTAGACAACAACTTCATTTAGCCACAGATAGAAACCAAAACATGCTCAAGAGAGATCAAATTACTCCATCACATTCTACTCATATTTTTTTATGAAGTTTGAAAGCAGCAAGCATAACCAGCAAGAGATATGCCAATGAGCCAAGCAGAGACATGGCAATGGCAGCAGCCCCTTGGTGACAGAATTTATCAAAGACGTCGCATACTTTGTTCCAACGCACGTGTGAGTTGCCTTGGTAGCCAATGACACCGATTGCAGTGGCCGCTCCGATGCTAGGAAAGAGCAGTACCAACATAACTAAATCAAGGATGATGATCATCAGAGAAAACCCTTTCTTTCTATCCATTTTGGTCAGTGTGAGGACCAAAGAGAGTGCTGCATATGAGCATGTTATGGCATTTGTCACCACCAAGTACCTATTAGATGAGGTTAACAAAATTAGTTGGTACTACTACATCTCGTATTCATTAATAAATGTAGAAATATACTTAGACATTTGTGTATTTTGAGTAATGATCTCTTGTTCATCGGTGAATAATAAATTTTCTCCACACTAAACATCATAATAGTTAGATATGATATAAGTGTGTACGTAAAAAAAGATAATTATATAAAAAATATATATAGAGCAATCATATCCATTGATTATTTTACTTGGTGTGATTTAATTTCTTGCTCACCGAAATACAAGAGATCATTACTCCATGCATAAGTAAATATTCAACAAACACAAAATAAACCAACCATTAATTAGCTGGATAGGCTTGGTCAAGTTTTTTTTAAAGCGCAATAATGGGTTTAAGGACTTTGGGTTGAGTCAGTCCATCCCAAAATCAATATGGTTGGCTTGGGGTTAGTATCATTAACCAATTCCAAAGAAAAAGTATTTTGTTAGGTTCGGATTTAAATCATATCATACAAAATGAAAAAAGTATTTCTAAATATCATGAAAATATTTTCACCATAAGAAAAATGTTCATTAATATAAATGGTGACCAAGGAATCTGATCTTCTATTGTAGCGTGTTATAGACATTTCAGTTCAATTAAATCATGTTGAAAAGACACTTTTACCGCCTTATCTTGAACACAATTACTTCTTTAGCTCAAGTAATGGCCCCTTGAATTTGAGATTGGAAAAAATTTAACATAAATTTAAAATTAAACTTTCTCAAATCCGAAATTCAAAGCACGGCACATAACTTAAGTGTTGAAACACAATTTAATTGCATGTGTGAAAATTTCTAATGCACGCTATAGTAGATAATCCAGACTCGGTGATGGGGATTCTGAAATCGGAACTGGAACAGTGCCATAAGTATATACCAATAATTTGATATATATATATATATATATATATATATATCTAAAATAATAATAATAATATACATATAGAGATAGAGAATGTATATATAGATAGAGAGAACTCACACAAAGGCAGACAAGTAATTCCACTTAGCAGTGACCGGAACACTTAAAGGTGGCAAGGTCGGAACCACCTGTATTGGCACAACTTTGGTCTGCCTATCAACCCCAAGAACAATTGCCGCCACCAGAGTGAATGCAAAGGCCAAAAGCCTCAACACAAATTCTAAACAATTCACACTCCTTTTATTAGCCACCTTCACTTCTTCGCCTCTCACCCCATTGCTAGACTTGTTTTGGGTCTCCATTATGCAAAAGAATTTCCAACAAAATCTATCTAGTTTTAGAGAGAGAGAGAGAATGAGAGAGTGAGGAGATGTAGGGGTGCTTATATAGAGAGAGAAAGTGCAGATTAATTAAGGAGGTGTGAAGGGGCAGGCCAGGCAATGGGAATGAGTTCCATATATCATTGACCAACTTGTTTTCGTTAGTCGTTTGGTCGACGTTGATGGAAAGTGTAGTGCTTCACTTTTGGTTCCATGTGATATAAATCATTGACCAGCTTGTTTTCCTGTTCCTATTGACTAAATGTTTAACCCTATTTGATCAATTTTTAATGAATTGTTTTTGATATTTTACAGACACAAACCTTTTTTTGGATGATCCAAAGTGAAAAACATGATACATATATAACTCGCGTTTTGGTCTAGTGATATATGAAGAGTACTATTGATGGTTAATAGTGGTGTAATAGATACTATATGATACTCTTTTAAGTTCAAAATAATTGTTCAATTTTTTATTTTTTATCGATTTTAAAATAAGTGTTTTATTTGAAAAATTAGTGTATTATTTTTTATAAAATTAATAATTTAACCTTCTTGCATTAAATATTACATCTTTGTTAACTAAAGAATAAATTTGGTAAGTCATTCACTACTAATATAATATATAAATAAATAAACTATTTCCTTAAAAAGTAAGATTCTCAAAAAGTTACAGGGAAGTTACACTATTTTGGGAGGAATGAAGTATTTGGTAATTCTTTTTTTAATTTCAAAGACCAAAAACTCAATATTTTGTTATTCTTTAAAACATGCATGCTTAATCTTAGTCTCGATATAAAATTTTGTGTTTAAAGTTTGATGAAAGCAAATAATTATAATGTTGTGTTTTGAACTACCGAATTGACACATTGACTTTGAAATTTAAAAAAAAAAAAAAAAAAATTAATACAAAATTTGAACTAAATTTCTTCAATTCCAATTCCAAATTCAAAACCATTCGATATGTCCTACAATTTTTTTATATTTTAATATGTACCATTTGACTAAGGTCTGCAATTAAGTAGTGTTATTTTTAAAAAAAGGTGAAAGGTAGGGAGTTAAAAAAATAACTTTGTGCGAGATTATTTTAAAAAATTAAATAACAATAACAACAACAACAATAATAATAATAATAATAATAATAAATGTACCACTTTGACAAAGCACGGTTATAGTGGAATAGAATTTGAGAGTTTTCTGACATAAGAAGTTACTATTACTTTACCTTTATGTTTGGAAAGCGTACCAAAGATACATTGGATTGAGCAATGTATTTCCACACCTTCCTACTCCATCTCACTCAATGGGGAACTTTTTGGCTTCTTTAAGGGGAAAAGGGGTATCTTTGCTTTTTGTTTTGGCAATGGAAGTGCTCTCACTAGCTCTAGGCAAAAATATCTCACAGAGTGCACCCTTCAAATTTCACTGGAGATGTAGCAAACTTAACATTTCCCATTTAGTCTTTGCAGATGATATTCTCTTATTCTCTTATGGTAACCTTAATTTAGTTGAGGTCTTGTTCTCAGCTCTTAATGATTTTCTGATATTCTCAAGACTTACAATCAACTGCTCTAAAAGTCATATGTGTTTTGCTAGGGTGGACACACACATAAGGAGTAGTATTTTGTCCCTCCTGCAATTTGAAGTTGGTGTCCTGCCAATAAAATATCTAGGGCTACCACTTTCTTCATCCGCCATCAATGTAAATGACTACCAGACTTTGGTTCAAAGGATTACCAAAAGAATTGGCTTGTGGACTTCAAGGTTTTTATCATATGTAGGTAGAGCAGTTTTGATAAAGTTAGTACTCTACTCTATATAGGCCTATTGGACTCAAGCTTTCATCCTTCCATAGAAAGTCATAGATCAAATTAACCAAGTTATCAGGAGCTTCTACTGGTCTGGGGTGGAGCTTAGAAAGGGTGGGGCCAAGGTAGCATGGTCAGCCATTTGCAAGCCAAAGGTCAATGGAGGACTTGGTTTTCCTTGTTTGGAGATGACAAATAGAATTTCAAGCCTCAAACACATTTGGAGGCTCTGTTCTTTGAAAGACTCTCTTTGGGTTGCTTGAGTAAATAGGTATCTCATTAAAACTAATTGTTTTTGGTCTGTCAAAGCTTCATCTCTGAGCTCTGGATTCTGGAGAAGGCTGCTCAATTTGAGGGGAATGACAAGGGGTTTAATTAAGCATAGAGTTGGTTCAGGGATAAGCACAAGTTTATGGATGGATTACTGGCTCCCAAATGGTCCTATCTTAACCCAGCTTGGACTCTCTGAAGTGAAAATTCTTCAAATGGACTACCAAGTCAAAGTTGATAGCCTAATTTCCAACTTTCAGTGGTTCATTCCACCATCCTTATAAGTACTCCCAATATTCCAATCACAAGACTTCTTATCTCAATTACACAACATTGTTACACCCTCACCAACTCTAGATTTGATTCAGTGGTTACCAAGTGCCCCATCTGCTTACTCTCACAAGCTTACAATAGAATATTTTACACCACCATCATTGTTATTCAATTGGCCCCAACTAATCTGGATTAAACATCACATTCCAAAGCATGGTCATATTTCTTAGTTGGCTCTTAGACACAGACTATACACTTTGGACTCAAAACCCATGAGATACAAACACTACACCAATGCATGTTACCTCTGCCTTGCTGACTGGGAGTTTTTGGACCACCTTTTCTTTAAGTGCAAGTATAGTTCAGTCATTTGGGAATTCATACAAAATGCTGCAGGTTTCTATATTTCTCCAAACATTTAGGAAGATCTCAAAGTGTGGTGTTTAAGTTTATGGACTCAAAGCAGATTCATCACTCACAAATTGCTTCTATCAGCTGCAGTCTACTTCATTTGGCAAGAAAGGAATACAAGGGCATTCAGGAACATATCTGCCACTCCACAAATCCTTATTAGAGCAATTAAAAGCTATGTTAGAGCAAGACTTGCCTCTATAAAGTTAAATAAAGGAGCAGACTTAAGGGTGATTGGCTCTTTGAATAACCTGCAGAAACTATTCACAGAAGGATGTGAGTTTGCTCACAGACAGTCCTATTTTCTTCTTTGAGGTTACACTATGTGCTTGCTCAAATACTTATTGCAGTGTTAGTTTTGGTCTTTGGTGCTCCAGATGAGATCATACTCCAGTGACTAGAAGATTGGAACAAGATAGATAGATGTTTTGATGAATGTAATATGGATATGTTACTATGTTTGTTGTTGTTTTCGGTTCTCCACGGCTTGCTGTTGTTGTTGTGGTGCTCTGTCCATTTAATGGACCTTGTACATACTTTTTTCTTCATTAATACAAGCTTACCCATTCAACTAAAAAAATAATAATAATAATAAAAAGATACATATATGAGTCACTATTAGAAGTAGGAATAAGATCAAATTACACATCAACCTTAATCAGATCCATTCTCAATAGATTGAAAAAATCTGAATCCATCACCAATTCGTTATCTTAGAGATTGGATCCGTTGAATAACAGATCGGATCGAATTAGATCCACGGATTAATATTTTATCTAACCTGTCTAATATTATTTATTTTTTAACCATAACCCAATGGATAAAATTTCAATTTATCACCATTAATTCATAAATTTAAATGATCATTAATTAATACATTTTTAGATTCTATTAAATGATTATCAACTAATTAAATTAATTAATATATTTTTTGAATATGCATAGATAAATCTCATGGATCGGATCAGATCGGACTCATGAATCTGATTGGATTTTTAACAGCCCAATCCGTGTGGTATAGATTCAATTTTTTTTTAATCCGCCACCAATCCATGGATAGAACAATCCGATCGATTCGCACGGATCAGATTGGATTGGATTCGTGGATTATTTGACCACCCCTAGTCACTACACAGTCCATATTAGACGACGATCACTTTTTTTTTTTTTTGAGTAAATTGCACTAACATCTTTTGAGGTTTCGGTCAATGCTAGTTGGTCTACACGCATGTTATCCCATCACCCTTTGAGATTTCAAAAATTTGCATTGACACCCTTTCCAGACATTTAGTACACTATGAAATGATCTTTTAACCCTTTGACTTGTCAACAAATAAATAAATAAAAATGTAAATACACCAATTAACCTTTTCCTAACAAAATTTAAAAGACCAACATAACTCTTCATCTCAAACACCTAGCCACAATGTTGCCACCACCACCGCTACCACCACCTCTTATCGCCATCGCTACCACCACCGGTACCACCTCTTGAGTTTCTTTGATTACATTTATATTAATTTCTCCATACACCTTCTCTCCCCTCTTACTTTTTCTTTATCATTTTCATCCAAACCCCAATAATATCAGTTGGGATTGAGACCAAGAAGAAAACTCTCCAAAACCCCAAATTGATTAAGGAAACGATCGTAGAAAAATAACAGAGGAAGTACTAGCAAAAAAATAACCGATGACCACTTGGAAGGAGGGTTTGACACGTACCATGGGCCAAGTCTAGCCCTAACAATCTCACTAAATCCCACTTAATTCACTAACAAAATCACCCAAATCCTTCGTGTAACCACCACCATTGCTGCGGCTACAACAATTGGTCCACCGCCGATGAGAGGTTATAAAGAAGGGTCACCATCTACAGTCCCTCAACTTCATTTTCAAGCTCAAAGGCCATGCCGTCCTCATCGCGACATCACTGCCATTGGTCTTGGCGTCAGAATTAGGGTCGACGTGCACGAGGCAGTGAAGATATCAAAGCTTTAATTTTGATCAGAGCGATGGCAAATAGGGTTCAGAGAGAGAGGGATTGCACTGACGAAAGTTGTGATGACCCTGGATTTTTCAACCAAGTGCGCCTTGTGATGACCCGAAGGATGATCCTATAACAAATCCTGAATGTGGAAGTGAAACAAAAATAAGGTCTCTAGGGATATACAACATCCCTAAGGCACAAAAGTGACCTTCCATGAAGTTACGGAACTCAACGAGAACAAACGCGGAAGCAAAAGTTGAAAATAGACCAAGTATGGCTCCAGTGGCAAAATG